AGGGATTGTTAGTAATGGAGACTGAGAATCCTATTGCTAGCAGTATACCTAACCAGGTCGACCTCCTCGCGGTTCTCCCTGGAAACTATCATGGTTAAATCCTGATGAATTCATCATTATGGGCTAACTGGCCTGTTTTCATTCTCATCTATCACCCTTCACTGATGCTCCACCAGCGTATCCCGTTAGCGCAGGCGGGGTTACCATACCATTTTCTCCCATTAAAATATATATATATATATATGAGTACCTTAGATTATATGGATAGAGCTTCGAGCCTCAAAAACGTGTCAACTTTATGTCAGCTAATTGTCAAAGTAACTGACTGTTTTTTTATTTATATTTTATATACATTATAAAATATTGCAGAATTTATACGACAAAATAAATATAGAAATTGTAAAGGAATCACTCATATTTATTTATCGCGCAAAATTGTATGAAAAAGTTGACCTGCTTTTCTCGAAGCATTTGTATGGATACAGTCTATCTATATAATCTAAGACGAGTACATTAGGAGCACAGGCAAAAAATGATATGATCAAATGTGCACTCATTATTTCTTGTTAAAATGTAGTAAAAGGGCTCTCATTAATAAATAATAATCATCGTGGTTTTTGTCTTTATTTTATCAGAATGTATTTGCATAATATATTAAGATACAAGGAGGCAAATTCTGATTATGAATATAGCTATTATTCTGATTTCCCGAAATATAGGAAGTTTGTTTAAGTGTAAGAAAAAGCGTAAGAAGCATAAAAGATATGAATGTGTGACAATCTACTGTAGTACCAATATACATTTTCCTCAATTCAATCGGTGATCTATCTTACTTTTGAATAGTATTCAATACAAAAGTAAGATAGATCATAGAGAGGTTATTATGAGCATCATATTGACTTTATTGACCGGTAGTTAATATTATCAGACATTAAATTTGCCCAGTAGACATATTTTAATGTTTGCAAAAGTATAAACAACTAAAAATTTTAAAGTCAGCTAAACTTTTGGGCGACCTTGGACACGATAAGAAACAGAATGAATAATATGATTGGCCAAGCGACTAGCTTACTCCCGATTACATTCTCTTCTCTTCTTCAAATACTCAATATAAAACCTGTTATTATGCTATACGCCTCTCACATAATTTCATTTTGCGGCTTTGAATTGATGGAAACGAACATGAACACGACGTGTTTGTGTATGTTAAACTTACGGACCTGTCAATATTTCCTATTATTCTGTGAACGTACATATGTTTTCAAGGCAATAGGAGTACTTTAAAATTTAATAGCTGTAATTTTAAGCTGAAGCAGGTTCGCGACGTAAGTAAAAATAATTATTATCTATTAATTATCTAGATACTTATCTATATTAAATATAATATAGTTAAAGATATATTGCCCGTATTTGATATATAAAATGCAAATTACATTAATGTTAAGAATATTACAATAAGTAATCAAAACTGTATGGAAAAAAATGTTATAAATGAATTAATCAACGATTTCCTTTTTTAATATACCTAAGTAATGTAAATATTTTTATGCCATTTTATCAAGATTCTATGCAGTTATAGGTACGATCAGATATATATATATATATATATATATATATATACATTAATTATATATATATATATATATATATATATATATACATTAATTATATATATACATTAAATAACTATAAGAACTATAAATATTGATATATACCCTTTGAGAAACATCACAGTGGCGATTATAAGGAAACTTGCAGTTAAATTGCAAACGAGATACTTAAGCGAATGCATTGTTGCACAAAACAACGCTAAAGAGATGATGCGGATTGGTCGTAACAAATGTCGTTATCCTACATTTGAGGGTCGATAAACCGCGCAACGACGGCATCGCTACGCGGCCGCTACGCGACGACGACGCGGCGGCGACGCGGCGGCTGACCTCCGATCCATTACTTGATCAGCATACACCACTCAGGAAGAATAGCTTATATTCATAAATTTTCATGTATATTATCTAGTTGCTTTTCGAGTGATTTATCCAAGTCATTCCTAAATATTTATTTAGTACATAATGCTGAATAGAATCTAAATTTAGCTAGCTCTTAGTTGCGGTTATTGTAGACTGGTCAATGCCCCCGACTGTGTTTGCAAGTATTTCATTATATATAAAATGATCTATAGCAACGCAATACTTACATATACTCGTATCTATAAAAATATAATTAATTGCCTTATCATGAAATCTCTACAAATATTCTTTATAGCCATATTATTAACTACCCCACCTAGGAGTACAGTCATGGTAATATTTATTTGAATATCCCACGTAATGTATAAATAATGGAAACAATATTAAAAATATTATACGTTGCTAATCTCCTGTTATTATACTTGGCATATTTAGTAAACAATCTGAGCACGTTTTTCATTAACAGTGTATATAATAAACATATATTCAGCTAGATAAAAAAAGATTTCGTGTTAATTAAATGCCTATATTATTTGTTAACTGTATTATTCTTAAATAAATTTCGAAAAACGATATGCCAAGAATGTTATAATATACAAAGAGTAATAGAATATTTATCAATTTAAAATTAGTATATTGATTCTAAAAAAATATAGCATTACGAATATATTGTATACAAATTAGAAAATCCATTTGCAAAGTGATTGCGCAATTTAACATTTACGCTTCATTTTTACAAACCGCAAGATATTTCCAGCACTTGGTGTTTTTGATATCCTCTGTATAAATATTTCCCGCTGATAAGGGTGCTCGGGTGGAGTGCAGGGGTCAGTTGCATTTAAGTCACGTATTCACTGAGGTTAGCGCGGCACGAACTCGTGCGTTACACGTTGCGTAACATATGATGGATAGTTTGTTTATACTCGTATGTTATATGTAAACATGAACATTTATGAGTAGAAATGGAATTCTTCGTTATTTTGTGAACTGACACTGACATTTTGATATCATTATTATTAAACAAAAAACTTAGCACGACATACCAATGTTAAAGAAGTTAACCTCGAAATATAACTCTTTACTGTAAAATATATCTTCCTTTTATGGGTAGAGAGTTTTTTGCCATTCTTAGAAGTGAGATTGTTATTTGGGTTATTATGATAGAAAAATAACTATTGTAAACGAAACCTACAATATTATAATGAAAAGCTAAATATGTAAACAAATTCCTATAAATGATAAATTACCAAAAAATAGAATACAATAATGAATTTTAAAACAGATGAATAAATATTGTTGTTAAAAAATAGGTTGAATGACTTTCCTATTCTGTTAGAATAAAACTCTACACCAATATCGTTATTTGTTTTTATTGTTTACATTATAGCAACAGGGCAAAAGAATACGTAGCATTATGTGTGTTAAGTTTTATTACCACAACCCACGTAGTACCGTACCAAGCAGTAAGTGTGTAAGACGCTCTATAAAAGCACTACCGCGATGCAGTGGTTTTACACAAACAGTGTCTGGAGAGTTTAAAGTGTTGGACAGCATCGCTGTGCATGATATCGCAATAACGAGATACATTATATCCTCTCTCACGTTATAGGTTAGGTTGTAACACTGTTATTTCGTAAGTGTATCATGATTCCAACAACAATTTGCTCTTAATGATCTTAACACAACAATTCCAATAGTGGCGGTTTTGATCCTCATATAATACAAACATTTGTATTCATAAGTACGTTTATTTGTATTAGTACGGGTATTTTAATTGTATTAGATCATTTCAGCCGTTAACTATCCATTGTTGAATATAAGCCTTTTTCCAGTAATTGCCACAGTTGGCATGCGAGTTGGTAACCGCAATTAGGCTTTTAGAGATGTTTTAAGAAGACAGCGTCCTTCTAATATTAAATTTTTTTAGTCCCCTCTTATGGCGCTCACAGGAAAGGAAGGGGTAGTCTGTTCTATGCCGGGACCACACGGCCATGTATTACATATTTGTATTAATGAAAGATGTATTTATATCTGTTTGTGAAACGAAAATTAAAATTATTTCTTATGTATATATGCATAGATAAAAATTCCAGACAGATTTTAATGTTACTTATTGTCTATTATACTATGTTGTCTTAATTTCTGTTTAATTGATATTTAAATTATCTACAAATAATGAAATAATATTTCTTGTGATAACATTTTTACATTATTTGTATTACATATGTATGTTCTTGTTTTCCTTGACTCTAAAATGTTTTGATTGATAACAATGGTAATAAACTATATATAGCACAAAAAAATAATGATTAGTGATAACTAAAACTACTACACAAATCGAATGCGATTTTTAAAAATTGTTTACTGTGTATATATAAGTAAATAACTTGTGAATGGTCTATTTCATAGTTCTTCTTATTTCAAAAATCTATGAGTACGAAGTCACGAGCAGAAGCTAGTAAAGAAATACGGAAAAAACTTGTAACAAGTAAACTTTTAAAATTAATATTTCAATTATTTCACAGAAACTCGATTGTGAAAATTCTATTCAGCCTGACTTGCAAAATGGAATTTTTCGTTTCAGGTCAGTGAGGAGAGAATGCAAATTATCTTTTCTTTACTACCTAGATACAAAATATAATTAATAAACTACAAAAAACCTTTGAAACTTAAAAAAAAAGAGCCGTATTTACTTTGTAGAGGAAATTAAAATTATAGTCTAAATTTTGATGAAATATGAAATGTAAATAAACGATTTGAAACAGTTTTAAATAAAGATTTATGAAATATGCATCGGTTGTATATAAATCCCAATACCACTATTTGCATACGTTCGATTTATCGGATGTTTGTTCCAAATATTTCGGTGGTGATCGAGCAACTCTCTCAAAGCGCCCGAGTTATAATTTGATTATTCGTCTTTTGTCTTATTTTATTATGTCGGTATTCGGTCCCGGCAATAAAGAGTAGCGAGACGGCTTGTCTGCTTGTTCTGGTTTTCTTCGCCCTTGTTTATCTGCCTGGGGTAGTTAGAAGCGGAGTGGCGAGTAAGCCGAATGGCGGAGTGGCGTGCCGCCCCGCGGCAGTGCCTCTGAAACACGGCCCGAGATGGGACGCACGCCCGTTATCCTCGTAGCATCACGCGTTCGACCACGATTTCACAGGTGAACCGGGACAAACAAAAAAGTAGTATAATCATCTAATGTAATTGCAACAAAATGACTGTTTTTATACATTTATATTATGTGATATGGATAGCGTTCCTGACCGCTTGTTGCAGTACGACAGGTGAGTTGATAGTGCAATTAGCATTTTTATTGAGTTCGTCGACAACTTGTAAAAAGTTTTTATATGAAATTGGAATTTTTTTCCTTTGTCATGAATGTAATAAATTGCACTTTTTAAATACAATTTCATTTTGCAAAAGCTATTGGCATATTTGTAAAATCAGACTGGTATTGTAAATATAAAAGTTTATAATAATATTTAGATGTTTAGATAGAAGGTTTGTTAATATTTGTTATGTAAGTAATTAAACATTATTTTAGTATTATATTAATAGTATTTCACAATAGAAATCATATTCTAGATTAATTCATAATTTACTTTTTATCTTAATTCTTGCGGACAAAGACACGAGTTACAACTAGTTATATTATTTAATGTTTAAATCTCTATTATTAATATAAAAGAATCCCAATTTACTTATTGTTAAGCCAACGGCATATAAAATTAAACATTTGTATGAAATACAAATGAAGTCGTCGAGTCAAACAAAGCTTCAATCAGTATAGGTACTTAATTTCGAGGACTTGAATGAACAATTATTATATTCATCTGGTTGCCAGTAGGTGTAGGTATGTGTATATCCCTATAGATATTATAACAATAGAAGCTTTGGTGTTTAAATTATCAAATTTAATTTCATTGTACCATTATATTCGATTGTTTCTACGAACACCACTTCAAATTCAAAATTCTATTGTATGGACGTGTAACACATACTGATTGATTTATATTCATGTATTGTAGCTTGTAATCATGATTTTCTATGATATTTACTATAACTCACGGATTTTACTGCGTGAATTAGGCTAAAAGATATTCAGAATATAGTTTAAATATCATCCAAAAAGCCGGATGTTGTTTCTTTTATTTTTTATATATCAAATTTCATTGAAACTTTCATTGAAGTATTTGATATTCAACCACATATATATGAAACGTGATTGAATATCAAACGCTCGAACATCTTTACAAACTTTCATATTTATAGTACTCGTAGGATTTTACAGAATAAATATAATTCATTATGTACCAATAGTACTAGAGTCGTGTAAGGATGTCATATTTTAGCATCAAGAGTGTCTAGGTCGTTTCACTATACGCGAAGGTCTCTGCTGTAATTTACCGGGCGACGTCATTACGTGCTGCAATTTTCATAATATTATATATACCGAAATTATAATACATATAGGATATCAACATCCACTAATTTTTCATATATAAATGTAACACAAAAAAAAATTGAAATTGGAATTCACTTTTACTAGTTAACAAACTAGTAAATATCCGCGATATCGTTTGCTTGAACCAGTTTATAAATTACCCAACGAGAACCTCATGTAAGCCTACCTGTAACTTATTCAAAGTTATATAAGTTGTTATATACGGAACTTCGCATATTTACAATTCAATTGAGTTTCTTTTAACAATATTTATAAAAAATAGGAATATACTTTAGCTATTCCTTTAAGCAATTTGTTAATAGTTTTCTTTTGAACTGGATAGCTCGTAGCTAAAATTATTTTCTCACAACTGGATTCAATTTCTCAGTATCTATTTTACTAAATATATTTATTTAATTTTGTTAACTGCTTAAAGAAGTATTATAGTATTATTACCTGTTTTAGTGATCTAATTAATAATAAATAGAAATGCTATTATTTAATAGAGCAAGATTACCTGATACCAGTAGTGCTGTATTCACTATGTAATACCTTTATATGAACCTTTTTTTTATTGTAGTCTCTTTTTAAAGAAACTTTTTTTATTGTCATTTAAAACAAATACTTATTATTTCCTTTTAATATGAAATACTGTAATAAATTTTATTAATCTACTACTTTATATTATACTAAGAACTCTCGGAATAAAATTGAGGAAAAAATCAGTATACGTAAATTATTAATAATATTAAAGGACTTAATAGATTCGCGTTATATTTAGAAAATTGAAAATATTCGTGTACAATTCTGAGAATTTAAATACGAAAAATAATCATAATGAGCATGATTATATAGCAAAAGTTAGCGTCTAATTTTAGTACCAATTATATCGGTAGATATGTTTTCAACTGTTTCCTCGAATTGGGTATTCTTAGCTTTAGTCTTAGTTCTTTGTCTCAGTATATTATAGAAGCATAGAAGGAATAGAAAACGTTCTGTTTTATTAGCACTATCTACATGGTAGATATTTTAATGGATAGAAAAGGAATGGTAATCTCACCTGCGCTAACGGTATACTCTTGTGGGGCACCAGTGAGAGATATTAAAATTAATTACAAATTAATAATTTTGTATAACATATATAAGTTATTAGGAGAGTAAAAAAAAAAATTAATATGAAAAAATCTGAAAAAAAGTTGAAAAATATCTGTATTCTTACAGATATTTTTCAACTAATTTCAAAAAGAAAACGGTTTTTATTTCGGTTGCATTTTTTTGTTTGTTATCTAATAACGCTGTCTGTTGTATTTACTCATACATTGATTTTATAAAAAAAAATATTTAAATCGGTCCAGTATTTTAGTTTTTAAATCAAAATTATTGATTTCGCTATAAATGAAGTCTTGTTCGTGGTACACAATTTTAATTATATCATTTGATATGTTTTTCGCTTCATTTCGTAACCTCAAAAAACAGATATGAAAGCTTCAATATTTTTATATATTTTAAGAATTCGAGTACATTACCAAGTTAAGAGGATTTCCAAACTGCTATAGCATAATTCAGTTAACAAGGGGAAGAAGAAAGAATCACAAACAACGGACGGGGGTCGAGAGCGTGACGCATCGGCGGAAATCCGCCACCGCCGTCTCCCAGCAACCGTGACAGTTATCGATGTATTCTGTCTAAGCAATAAATATAATTAATAAGGACCCAGCGAATGTGGGCTCAATTTCGGTTAATTCAAAGCGAAAATTTCTACAGCGCACTATACTTTATTATAATAATGTAATATGAAAATAATAACACACACACACACACACACACATACACACACACGCGCGCGCGCACTCACACACACACGTACTTGTTGAAAATAATAAGCTCAGTTGGATGAATAATAAAAATGTATGTATTATGTGAAGTTTAGAAGAGAATAGCGAACTGTCATAAATTATTATATTGTTATATTTTTGTATTTAATATTTTGATTATAGAACATTAATAAAAACGACTATAGAGTTTTTACAACATATCCTCCCGTAATCAAAATATATATATAACAAAAATATTACTTAACAAAAATACTGGTACAAAAATAACAAGATAAAAGGTTACCCAATGCCCATATTCGTCATACATCGTAAATGCTTAACATGACCTAAAGGTTTTGTCAAAACATCCGCTGGTAGTGAATCAGTGGGCATATACCTTAATTCTATAATTTTGTCATTTACTTTTTCTCTAATAAAATGAAACTTTACGTCTATATGTTTGGTTCTATTGTGATGGACTGGATTCAACGCAAGTTTCTGGGCACTCTGACTATCAGAAAAAATGACAACATTTAGAGTTTTACCTGTTATTTCTGCCACAAAACGTTTTAAGAAACAACCTTCCTTAGCAGCTGCTGATAGCGCCATGTATTCGGATTCCGCAGAGGACAATGCGACTGTAGGCTGTTTTCTTGATTCCCAAGAAATAGGGCCTTTTGCAAGTTCGAAGTAAAATCCTGTATATGAGCGACGACTAACAGGACAGTTTGCGAAGTCAGCATCTGAGTAACCACGCAGTATAGAGAAGTCTTCAGTCTTTCTGTACGAAATACCAACATGCTTAGTTGCACTTAAATATCGAAGACATCGCTTAGCAGCATTCCAATGAGATTGATCATTATTGGAGTTAAATTGACTTAAATAACTCACTGCGTAAGCTATATCAGGCCTTGTATTTACTGCCACATACATAAGACAGCCAATTAATGCTTGATAGGAATAGTTAGACTCACCTGTACTAGGTTCCAGTTTCTTTTGAGCAAGGGGTGTTGAAACCGATTTACAGTTTTGCATTTCAAACCTTTTTAACAAACTTTCAATATACGTACTTTGACATATTTTAATAATATTCTCTCGGCAAGATATATTTATGCCTATGAAATAATTAATAATACCAAGATCTTTAAGTGAAAAATAATTTTCCAACTCACATTTGAAGTTGTCAAATGTTACTTCATTTTTATACATAATTAAAAGATCATCAACATATATGGCTATAACCAAGGAGTCTGTATTCGAAATATTTTTAGTAAACACGCAAGGTTCAGATGGTATTTGAGTGAATCCAATAGTTGACAAAGTTTGTTTTAACTTTATATTCCAAGCTCTCGGAGCTTGTTTCAAACCATATAAGGCCTTTTTCAATAAACATACCTTATTTTCATCTTCCTTTCTCTGGACAAACCCTTCTGGCTGATTCATATAGACTTCTTCTTCCAAATCACCATATAAAAAGGCAGTGTCTACATCCATATGACGTATTTTGTATCCTTCCTGTACTGCTAATGCTAACAGCGTTCGCAACGATGAGGAGCGTACAACAGGAGAAAAAGTGTCATAATAATCTACACCTTCTATTTGTGTAAAACCTTTAGCTACTAAACGAGCTTTATACTTGACTATATTTCCTTCAGCATCTCTTTTCAATTTGTAAACCCACTTAGACGAAATACAAGATTTAAATCTCGGTTTTTCCACCAATACCCAAGTTTCTCTTTTTAATAAAGCATCATACTCATTATTCATCGCAGTGATCCAGTCATTTTTATCATCTCTTGTAATTGCGTCACGATAAGTCAAAGGATCACCGCACAGCAGATCATCGCTTAGAGTATTATAAGAAAAATAGTTTGGAGGTTTACGTATTCTTTCAGGGTACCTTCTTCCAGATCTATCATCATTAGAATTACTTGAAGAACCCGATGACGGAGATGAAGAATTAATTATATTACCTGAATGTACAGTCTCCATTCCTTGATTGCGTACCTCTTCAGTACTGACTGAA